ACCCTTCTGTTTTACAAGGCTGGCTGACAGTCACTGCTGACTGCGAAGTTGAGGGTTTATAGCCCTTGTTGGGGGGCATGTAAGGCTTCCCAGGGTGTCCTGTTCAGGTGGACTCATTGCGGGGAGCTCAGGGAAACAGCCAAGGAGGCTTGCTGTAAAGAGAGAGTATGCCCTGAGGGGTAGTCACACTACAAGAGGGTCGGTCCTGTCTGAATTTCATTCAGAGTAGTTCCAGAGTATTGAACCAGTGGACTGTGACAAGCACATTTCCTTATCTTGCTGGAAGCAAAAATGAAGTTCCTTGGAAGGATGCTGAGTCTGTCAGTCAGGGAAAATGCACTGCATAGTCACTGGGGTACAGTTAAAAGGTGTTCCATAAATTGGTATTTTCTTGCTTTTCAGGAGTTGTATTGGTGTGTGTGGTGGGGGGGGGCCAGGTTGGGGGGGGATGCCAACACAACCATCCTTAATTCTTTTCAACAAAAGTTTTTGCTTCTGGAATATTATTAATAACCTACTTCTCGTGGCATAATGGAAACAGTGAATATACAGGAAGATCTGGACAAAGAAAGTGGTAACTCACTGTATTTACAAGATACAGTAGTCCACAAAACTGAGTTTAGCAGTAGCAATGTAGCAATTCACGTGTATTCAACATAACATTCAACCAATTTTTAAAAATCTAATTATACAAAAAGCTAGCCAACAGTTTAAATACATAACCCCTGCTATGCAGAGCAGCAGACAAGCCATGCAAAACAGACCGCCTGCAGTCTTTTTTGATTATGATGCCAAAATGTTAGCTACATCAGCCACGTAAGAATTTTCTCAGGGGATGGCTTAAGATTCAGATATTGATAACTCTTGACATATTTTTGCTTCCTTAACATCAATAATGTTTTTAGAGAGAAGCATCTTCTATTTTTTTTATGCTTTATACCCAAAGTCTCACTGCTTGTGTTGTATTTTACTAAACGCTTTCCCCGTTAATTTTTTTTACCTTATTGTGGGGGTGGGGGGACACTTCTCTGAGCAAGGTTTATCTTTTTAAACTTCATGTTCTTCCATATGGGATGATTTTGAAATCCTGCCATTTGAATTATTTTTCTAGTCACAGAGTTTAAAGACAGAAGGGTCTACTAAATCATCTAGCCTGACCATCTGTAGATACCAGGCCACCCCCACCACCTGCACACTAAACCCAAAAACCAAAATCAGACCAAAGTATGACAGCCCACAGCAGACGAGGCTATTCTATGCCACATAGAGAAAACAGAAGGGACTGAGCCGCACCAATGCCCGAGGCTCTTGTAATGGCAGGAAAATGATTAAGTGAGATATACCCAGATAATCCTGGCAAGTGACACAGAGATTATCCATGCTGCAGAGAAAGGCAAGCGCCCCCCACGCAAATGCCAATCTGATCTGGGGGGGAAATTCCTTCCCAACCCCACATACAGTGATCAGTTAGAATCACCGAGCACCTGACCAAGAACCAGCCAGGCAAGCACCCAAGAGAGAGAACGTTCAGTGCCCCGGCCCACCCAGCATCATATCTCCAACCACGGCCATCTCTGATGCTTCACAGGAAGGCGACAAATAAACCACCAGCCACATAACCTTTGCGTAGTGACAGCACTCTCTTTGCAGAAAGTGCGACTCGTCTTGTCTGCGTGATATGCAACCTGACAACACCAGGACACCAAATTAGGCATTGCTTTATTTAAAATAAAAAAATGCTCGTAGCCAGAATACCATGAAGAAAACAAAAAATATTCTGTGCCAAGACTCGTGTAGGCACTGTAATTTTAACAGGATCACTCACAGGCTACAAGTTACACAAACACATAAGTCTCTCTGCAGGAGCAAGGCTTGTTTGTACCGATATTGATTTGCACCAATCAAGGTGGATAAAAATCAATGATTTTTTAAAAAAAATCAAAAATATCAGATTTTTTAAATTTAAATTGGATTTTTTTGATAAAATGCTTTTTGGTGAAAAACCTATCTAAACATGGGTTTAATTAAGATACATAATAGCTCAAAGATATCTCATCATGGAATAGGGATTATAAATTCTAATTCTACAGCATGAGACAATATATTCATGTAATGTTTAAGAAAAGATTGTAAATGAGTTCCCATAGTTCATGGATTAGGGACCCAATTTTATGGGGTTCCAGGGGCTTCTGTATAGATTATTTAGGTTAATCTTGCTATCTGCCCAATGGGACTCAGTGCTCAGTCTAGAAGATACCATCCGAGAAGCTCAGTTTTGCAGTTCTCAAACTGTGGATTTGTCTCTCCAAAGGTAACATGCTTGTTAACAGCAAAAATGTTTTTAAATAAATAAACAAACAAACATGTAGAGATGAGAAATAACAGACCTCAACTCTACTGTCCCTCTGCAAATGTGTGTACACAGAGTCAATCCCTTACCTCTCTCTAAATGTGCAAACTTTCAAAAAGTTCAATGAATAGAAGATTGTTGGGGGCAGAATAGAGCTGGACAAGGAGAAGAAGTCTGGAGATAAATGTGAGAAGCAAGGGACATATGCTTGTTTTGTTAAAATGTTATATTTATATTATAGTTTGCTTTTGAAGAAAAAAAATCCAGAATACTTAACGTTGTTGTTTTAGTTAAATAAAACAATTTAAATGTCCGTCTGGTGATGTTCTCCTCCTAATACAGCATGGCAAGAAAATACTTGAAATATTAATGATTAACCTGTTGAATTGGAGATAGTTCACCTCCCAGTGACTTCATAAATATCTGCTTCAATTACCTTTGGTAAATGAAATAACCAATCAATCATTCATTTTCTGATATAGCTGTAAAACTCATCTGAAAAGTTTTCAAAATAAATCACTGTTTAAAAATGTAAAGTATGTACCTTCTAAAAATGAAACCCACATCTATCTCTGAGTTGTGAAGAATATGTATTAAGGTTATAACCAGGGCCGGCTCCAGGGTTTTTGCCGCCCCAAGCAGAAAAAAAAAAGAAGAAGCCACGATCGGCAGCAGCTCCACTGCGCCGCTTTCGTCTTCGGCAGCAGGTCCTTCCCTCCGATAGGGACAGGGACCCTCCACCGAATTGCCGCCGAAGAGCCCAATGTGCCGCCCCTTCCCCTTGGCCGCCCCAAGCATCTGCTTCCTCAGCTGGTGCCTGGAGCCAGCCCTGGTTATAACAACCAACCAGAATGCACTTTTATGTAGAAAACCATGATTAATTTGAGTCTTCCTGACTAGTGATTTAAATCAATTTGATTTAAATCAAATTCACCCTGGCACTGATATTGATTTGCAGGTGCAGAGAGGGCTGTTGCCTTCTCTACCTGCTCTCACTAATCTTTCTCAAAAACAACAAGGTGGCACCTTAAAGACTAACAGATTGATTTGGGCATAAGCTTCCCTGGGTTAAAAAAAAAAAACCCACTTGGTGCCTTTGTTGTTTTTGTGGATACAGACTAACAGGGCTAGCCCCTGATCCTAGCCTCTCTGACAGGTTCTAGAGTAGCAGTCGTGTTAGTCTAAGATGCCACAAGTACTCCTAATCTCTGAGTTACTGGTGCTGAGTAGAGCCAGCCAGCCCCACGCAGGCAGAAAGGCAGCAGAGGCTGGGTTTCGCCACTCAGCAGCTGATTGCCCCCACCAGGAAACCGAAACCGAAAGTAGCAGCGACCTGCAGGCGGAATCCGAAACCTGCAGCTGGATCGGCAGGAGGGAGAAATAGAAACTTACCGGAGCGGGCGGGCTCCCCTCCCCACCCTTCCCGGGGCTGCTTTCCCAGCCGGCTGCACACACCCAGCGGAACCCTCCTCACCCCCCAGCCCTGCCCTAGTGCCGGGAGAGCTCCGGCCCCAGCGCCCGGGGTCAGGGCAAAGCACAGCACAGATCCCCCGCTGCACCCAGCCTGCCCCAGCCCCCGCATCGCCCCGTGCACCTGGCCCCGTCCTCCCCGCCCCCGGTGGCGCAGGGCCCCGCAGCTCCAGCGCCTGGAGCCCGGCAGTTCCCAGCCTCTTACCCGGCGTGTAGCCTCCTCGCTGCCCCGGGCAGAGCTTCCTGCCCAGCTGCCCCCGGGCGTTGGCCCCGCAGGAGCAGACGGTGCCGTCCGGCCCCAGCAGGAGCGTGTGGCGCTCCCCGCAAGCCGCTTCCAGCAGCGTCCAACCCCCGCCGGCCTCTGGCCCCCGCCGGCACCGCACCAGCCCGCCGGCGGCCGCCTCGCCCAGCCCCAGCTGCCCGCAGGAGCCGGCTCCCCAGCAGTACGACATGCTGGGCCGGTGGCTGCTGCTTCTGCTTCGCCCAGCCTCTGCACCGCTACCCCGGGGAAACCTGCCTCCGCCCTCCTGTTTCACGCCAGCCCAGCCCAGCCGGTCTCTTTCCAGCCTGCCCTGCCTTGCAGCTGGCGGGGGGAGGGGGCTTTCCCTGCGGCCCCTTCCGTGGCATTACTGGGGGCGTTTGGGGAGAGAGAGAGTGTCACCCGGGGCAGTGAGGCACCCAACTGCTCTTTGTGCCTTTGGAAATCTCTCCCCTAAGTGCTTTTAAAGTGTGTATATAAACAAAGCCGTAGCCCCGCAACCTCCCCCAAACCAGAGAACAGCCCCTGGCCAACCAGAGATAACAATCAAACTCCTTGCCCTCCTTTGTCGACTAAAACCATTCCCGCTCTGCTGCGGTCATCTGGAGTGCCACTGATTTGCAATGGGCTTTGTGTGGGCACATGAAACCTACCCACCTGGAGGCAGTTGCAGGATGAAAGCCTTTTACACTGTGACAAAGGCCATGTCTACACTACAGAGCTTTAGCCAGTACAGCAGAGCCACCTATTGCAGACACCGCATAAGCCAGAAGAAGGAGTTCTTCCGTGGGCATAACTACATTAGCTAAACCCACAGAATACTCTTCTGCTGGCGTAGTTGCGTCTTCTCTGGGTAGCTAGTGAGTGTGACATTTTCCTCATTCCTAGTGGATATAGCTAGGCTCACAAAACTTTGTAGGATAGACTAGGCCGATACTCTGTTAAAAGAAGCCATGTTCTCAGCTGGCAAAGCTTTTCAGAGAGGTTCCAAATTTTTGCCAAGGAACTGGGGCAAATCAATGCCCAAATCTTAAATGTTAAGCACATGGGTAATTTACTCACATGAACAGTACCGTGGAAATCAACGGGATTACTCACATGGGCACAATTATACACATTTAAATGTTTGCAGGATTGGGGACCTTGACTCTAGTAGGGATCTAATCCTGATGTGATTAAAATGGCAGAACTTTCCTAGTATGGATGCAGTTATACTGGCATCAGTGTTTATAGCAGTATAGTTTATGCCAGTTCAAGATGCAATAAACTAGTATAACTGTTCACACTTAGGGCTTATACTGGTATGATTATATTGGTTAAAAATTAACACCCTTAACTGATACATCAGGATAACTTTTCTAGAGTAGGCCAGTCCTTACAAGCAGCACCGTGAGTTCATTAGTGTTCACACAGAGCAGATGGGGACATGATTTTTTTATGGCAAGCAGAAAGAGCCACTGAGTAAAATATATGGTATTCAGTGTATCTGTGACATTTGGAGGTTCAATTCAGACCAGTAAGGAGTTGGGTCACCACCAGTCCTGTAACCCTGGGTGCCTAAAATGCTTTGCTGCTAGGCAGAGCCGTCACATGGGTACAGCGAATCGGGGCGACTGCTGTGGGCCCTGCATTTTGGGGGGGGAGAGGCGTGGGCTGGTGCAATTGGCTTGGCAAGGTCGGTCCCGGAAGTGAGGGGTCAGTCCTGGAAGTGACAAATTCATCATTTCCACCCTGGGCCCTGCACCCCCCTAGGGACAGCCCTGCTGCTAGGCCTCACAGCCTGGACACCAACATCCAGTAGACAAGCATGCACTTCCTTGAGTGTCTGTGCTCCATGCAGCCCTTGTTCCACTTTCAGACCCCAGCAGCCTTCCTACGTCACAACAGCTCCACCTGGTCTCCACCAGCCTGGGTTACTACCTTCAGGGTGAGCCCAACACCCCTCAGTCCTGAATTTCCCCAAAACCATCTGCCTGAAAGCATCCAGTCATCTCCTGGAATGCTCAGAAGTAATAAGGTTTGTTGCTCCCTTAAAGAGACAAAAGCACAGCTTATTACTGTAACTGGAGTTAACAATCACTTCAATTCAAACACAGCACTGGATTGGTTTAGATTAAAAGTAAAACAAGTTTATTAATAAAAAGAAGGAGATTATCCTTTGCACTTGAACTCACTTAAAGACACAAATGGTTACAAGCAAATAAAAAGTAAAATACGCTTTCAAGGGACTGAGATTTAGCAAACTACAGTCTTCATTCAAGGTACATTTCTGACCAATCCCTCCTCTTTCTAGTCATGGCTGATTTTCTCTCAGTCAGGACCTTCCACAAAAATTCAATGTGCTGGTTTTCCTGTCTTCCTGTGTGAAAGATGCCAAATGTTTCCCCTTCTCTCTCTGTGTTCATGGACATCCTGCCTTTTGAAGCAGGGTCATCATGCTGTTCTTTTCGTCCTGTGGGCTTCCCACCATCTGCCTGATGATTTGTATGTAAATTGGTCTTCCAATGTTTTGATTCCATAATGTCTACTTTACATTAGAGACAGGTACATAGCTGCCTTCCCTCCTGTCTGGGAGAAAACATGTTTCTCCCTTTCTTTGGTCATAGACTTTAAAGCATATCATCAGTGAGTATTCATAAATCCTCATATAGTGTTAATACACTAATGTTACAATGGTGTTAATCACCAGTGTGTCAGCTTTCATAAAAGACCTCATCTGATACACTCTTCTAATACAGTAATATTGTATACAATCAGTTGATTCAATTACTTATCATTTGAGGTTCAGACTCCCCATCTTTTAGTCCAGTAAACCATTGAAATCTATTATTTGAGAAAGTTCCTTTTCTCCTTCTGCGAGGGGATACCATGCAGTCTGGTGAAGACTTCATACTGGTGCCTGCCCCACTGGTGATAGCTGAGTTGTTACCTCCTTCCCTTGTTAACTTCATGGCTTTGTTTACCTTTTATGTACATGCACCTGCATTGCCTCTGCCTGACAACCAGGCAGGTCAGTCAAGCAAAGACACGTTCTATTGTCTAAGGCAGACTGGGCGTATGCATTGCTTGCCAAATACATTTTAAGAACATATTTCTAGCACCTCTCCATAACTCTGTGTACACATCTTGTACATACATCACACAAGAATATTAATGATCAATGAGTTATTAGTTTTTCAATGATATATTACATCCCATCTTTTGGGTATATATCACGATCACAGTGTCTTAGGTGTAGTAAGTGTGTCAGGCTGGACAAGAGTTTTTGACACAAAGCAATGAACACCAATGGGCCTCTGTGTCTCACTGTCTCAGAAGGATGAAAGGCTAAATCAACCCTGGAATCTGTGGTTATCATGGTGTTTCAGAGCTAGAGGCTCTGATCCCACATTGCATGTGGGTAGATCCTTGTGGATGCGTAACCTGCTTAGGTGAACAGGTACGCCAGCATGGAGCTATCTGGAAGTCAGCTGTCTGTCTACGAGGATCAGTTAGAAGTACTGTAGGGACTTAATCCACTTCACCCAGAACCTCCTAAACGGACTGGTTAGGGGCCTGATTGTGCAGACACTTAGTATGTGCATAGTTTCACTCATGTGAGTAAATACTGCTCATGTAAGTAAAGTTATGCACATGCATAAAAGTGTTTCAACAATAGGTCCTAAATTTTGAAATTCATCCTCTTTAGATGAAATTTATTTCTCTTTTCTTATATTACATTTTATAGGAAAAATGTGTCAGAATCTACAGAAAAGTGAAAAATGATTAAAGGATTAGAAAACATTCCTTATAGTGATAGACTCAAGGAGCTCAATCAATTTAGCTTAAAGAGAAGGTTAAGGGGTGACTTGCTTACAGTGTATAAGTACTGTATTTACATAAGGAACAAATATTTAATAGTGGGCTCTTCAATCTAGCAGAGGAAGGTATAACATGATCCAACGACAGGAAGTTGAAGCTAGACACATTCAGGCTGGAAATAAGGTATAAATTTTTAATGGTGAAAGTAACTATTGGAACATTTTATCAAGATTCACCATGGATTCACCATCACTAACAATTTTAAAATCAAGTTTGGATGTTTGTCTAAAAGATCTGCTCCAGGAATTATTTTGGGGAAGTTCTAGGACACAGGGGGTCAGACTAGATGATCACAATAGTCCCTTCTGGCCTTGGAATCTATGAATGTCAGGCAGTTCCCACAGTTCAACTTGGCTAATTCATAAAGTGGACTCAACAGCTGACAAGAGCTTCAGTGTTCAGGGTCAAGATGCTGATGATTTCTGTAATGTGTTCTCATCTGATTGCAATGTATTATAATGCACAGACTAACTTCTGTTTGAAAGATTATTTGAGTCAGAGTAACAGTCCTCACTCAGGGTTGGCTGGGAAGTATGGCCTAGTGGTTAGGGCTATGCCCCATGACCAGCAGAGGGACTGTTGGTAGATGAGCCCAGGCCCTTCCACTCCACTAGACTCCAACCTAGGGTATTTTGAGTCTACTAGTGATTTGGCACGAAAGCTGCTTAAGGCTGCCCTCCCTGAGCCACTTCCCACCCACCCAGGCTAGCTCAGTCCAAGGCTTCCTCCTGCTGGGGTAGTTCAAACCAAGGGCTGGTCTACACTGGGTGGGTGGGGGGGAATGGATCTAAGATACGCAACTTCAGCTACGAGAATAGCGTAGCTGAAGTCGACATATCTTAGATCGACTTACCTCCAGTCCTCACGGTGCGGGATCGATGGCTGCGTCTCCCCCATCGACTCCACTTCCGCCTCTCGCGCTGGTGGAGTTCCAGAGTCGATGGGGAGCGCATTCAGGGATCGATTTCTCGCGTCTAGACGAGATGCGAGAAATCGATCCCCAATAGATTGATTGCTACCCGCTGATCTGGCGGGTAGTGAAGACATACTCCAAGAGAATAAAAAGGGATTACCAATGTCGACTCCAGGATCCATATGTGGGGGAGAGGGGAATGTTTCCCTCTCCTCCCTTCCTTCAGGGAGGGCCCTTTGGGGCAGTTATCTTAGAGATTTGGGCCTTCCCTTTGCTCTGCACTGCAGGTATCACAGGTCTGCCCCTAAATGAGCTGTTTCCCTCTCTTTTAATTCCTCTGCCACATGGAGCATTTGCTGCAGGTGTGGCAGGGCAGGGCTGGCTGGGCCCAAAGTGATTTGTTAACCCCTTGGTGCCCAGTGTGGGGTTTGTACACCCCATCACACACAATCTAAGGCATGTTTTAATGTCCCATTATGAAGTAAGTTTGTTTAGCTGTTTATGGAGCCATTTGGTCACATGGACTC